GTTTGTGACACAGTACTAGGAAAATGGGCAGGTAATTCCCATAAGATAAAGATCCCACATCACCTGTCATCAGTCATCCATAAGACTGACCATTCTCACAACACTGAAGAAACTGTAAAGCAATGTGCACAGACCAGGAATCAAACCAACAAACTTCCATATCAACAAAACAAACAAGTGAGCAAAACAGAATCAGAGTCTTGGAGATAAAGAGCAAACTGACAGTGACCAGAGAGCAGGGGGAAGCGGGAAAGAAGAGGAAGGGACAAGCAAAGAGACACGAATAGAGGGCTCCTGGGCATGGACAACGGACGATTGACTGTGGAGTCGGGGGGCGGGGTGGGGTAGGGGTGAGCCGTGGGGAATAAGGAGGGACAACTGTAACTGAACAACAATACATTTTTAAAAATTATAGCTAAAAAAAAAAAGAACTGTAAAGAACAGCGGGGAGAGTCATTCTTTCACTGTGCTTTCCCAACCCCCCTACAAAGGTTGGCACTGATAAGCAAAACAAATTTCAACTTACGTATGTTTGTATTATTTTGAGGGTACTACAGGATTGGAGGTTATCTATTAAATCCAAAGCATTTTGATTTCACAAAAGAAAGAAAGAAAGAAAAAAGAAAAGTTGCTGACTTGCAATCTGGTCCCTAGTCACTGAAGAAATTGTGGAGTGAGCTATGATGAGTTTGTGCAAATGTCACATTTTTCTCTACATAAAAGAATTGGAAAATGGATCAAAGAGGCTGGGAAAGATCATCTCATGGGAATCGAAAGTGAATGAATTCTGTGACAGCAAAGACTGTTTTATTTTAAAAGGTGGTACACTCTGATGGTTATGAAATCAGCCTTTGGAGCCAGAACTGCCTCAGTTCAAATCTTGGCTCTACCATTTAAGAATTTTGTGACCTAACAAGTTATTAATAATTTTTCTTATCTGTAAAATGAAAGTAATTATTAATATAGTTTTGTGTTATTGGAGAACTAAATTTAAAAAATCTGTGCAGCCCTTCATCCAATGCCAAGCTCAATAAATGGGAGCTGCTATTACAATCATCATCATCATCATCACTATCATTCATCTCCAGCTCCGTGTTAATGAGCAGAGTGTGGGGTGTATTATAGGAGGTCAACCAATGTTTGCCAAGTACAAATTAAATGCTATCCTCCACATTTAAGAACACTAAACAAGTTTGAAAGATAAATTTTAGCCCCTCTTCCTGTCAGAGATAAATAATTCAAGCAAAGGCAACAGAAGTAGCAGGGAACTTTACATGATCTTTATTTCCTTCGGCTTGCCAAAAGGGTGAACGAAGTAAGCTCAAGAACTACCTTTCATCTTTTCAGTGCTCTTTAGTCTCCCCAAGTCTCCCATACAGAGCACTAGCTTAATAGGCAATGTTTCTGCTACAGAAACACAGATCTAAACGGGTTAAGCAGCCTGGGAAGCCAGTTATGCCTGCTTCCCAACAGTTCCGCATTGAATCAGTGGTGAGATGCGAGGCATGTAAGACACAGCTGGCTACAGTTAAGGGGTTTCCTTGTGAACTTAAAGCTAGTACACTACCATTCCTTATATTCTTCCAGGTAAAAAGAGAGATTTTGCCAGAGCTCAGAACAGAAGTGATCAACCTCAGGTTCAAAGTTAGCCTGCCTATGCAGGCTCAGGGGACCACTGCCTGTCATGCTTAAAGCTGGGGAGAAAATTACTAGGATCATCTGAGGCCACTAAACTTGCAAGGGATTAAGGAATTGAGCCATTTCATTTTAAAAGTAAAAGTCACATATTTTTCTTGATCCCATTCACTAGATCTGCCTTTTAAGGAAAAGTCTTAAATAACACCAGTCACTAAAGTTGTCGCCTGTTTCTTTGAAATGCACATAGTCACATGGTGGGGGGAAAAAAGGGTTCCCTCCTCCAAGGTAACCCCTGGCATACCTCTCTGCGCGAATTCTGAGGTTAATTGTTAATCTTAACTTTTCATTGGAACTTTAGATTCAGTTTTAACAGGTTAAAGTTTGACTCGTCCCTCACCATCTTCTTCCTGTGTTGACTTTTCGAAAGAGCTAGAAGGGTTCTGTGGTAAATGCATATAACTTACCAAACTTTAATGATGAAAAGGACACATGAGATAAAATTAGCCGACTCTATCATATATGATTCTTGAAGTCAAAATAGTCTTAATTACTTAAGGAAAAAAATCACAGTAGTCATGGCTATATTATTTTATTCTTGATTTTAAGTCTAGCTTTCCCACAATATGTTGCAAACTATATCGACAAAATAATTTCAAATCACAATTTGGGCAGAATCTTCTCTGACATAAATGTGTGCTGGACTGCCTTTTTCACTGATTCCTACAGTGACTCTCTGCACTGGCCCAAAGTGTGAAGAGAAAAGAGCCACCATTAAGGACTCTGGCAGCTGAGTGAGGGCAAGCCAAAGCAGGGATTACCAAGGGAGGTCAAAGGAAAAACAAGCTCACGGTCACTGATCCTTTTGATCCCTTTCCTTTCTCGGTATTCTAATTTGTTCCTGTAGATAGTAAAGTGCTTTGCATATCTGAGGCAAAAAGAATCATTGTAAAAAAAAAAAAGAACAAAAGGGCTTTCTGCTTTATCTCCTCTGCAGCCATATTTAAGAGCAGGGTCAGAAACTAGGAAGAGGTGCTATTGAAAATGTGAGTTTTGCATCTCATCCCCCAAAAAGCACTTTATACAGTATCTATTAACTGTGACCCTTGGGAATCATACACAGTTACTCAACTGACAGATTATCCAAAAGGAAGGCCAATTTACTGTCAACAACAAAAGAACTTTTAAACACATCTGACTTTTTTGAATTAGGATTTTATAGTGTATTAATGAAAAGAAATACTATTTAAATTAAAAAATGGGTGGGGAGTGATGAGTAAACATGAACCGATGGAAAGATCTCTGTATACTGCCCCTTGTGCTAGTAGGGATCAAGTACAAGAAGCCCCATAAGAGAAGTTGTGGTGTGTCAAGCAGGCCCACCTCCAGGGGCGGCAAGAGCAGATTCATCCCCAGGAGAGCCTCCAACATGGGTCATAACTGCCTGCAATGACCTCTCTAAAACCTGCTCTCAGCAGATGAGGTCCCACTGTCACACAGTAAAAAGCTGTCACTAGATTTTCCCACCAGCTATGTGCTGGTGTCTCTGGGACAACAGAGGAACACAAAGCATTTTGGCAGTAAATCTGATGCTGTGAAACAACAGCTTCAGTCCAATGCCCCAACTGGCTGTGCACGGGCAAAGGCGACAACAGATTTCCCTCTGCCCCTGCGGAACAGAAATTTTCAACTTGTGTGCTGCAAGATTTTTAAAACATGCAATACCTGATTATTTAGTCAGGGGCACTGCCCTCTTTTCCCGCTTTTCCCTCAGACTGTCACATAAAAAAAATGGTAACAGCCAACACAATAGCCATCAATGTGAGTGAATCAAAATTATGCCTATTTTTTGTCAGATTAGCAAAAAATATATTTTTCGGTGTGTGCAGAATTTATTAAATGGTTACGTGTGCCATGAGATGAAAAGGGTTGAAAATTGCCACCGCAGAAGGTAAGATCTATATAGTCTTTTAAGGTCCTCTCTCTATAACCAGAAACAACTTTTTAAAGGTTATTTTTAATTGGCTATTCCACCCATTCCATGAGACACATGTTCTTCATGACTGCAGTAGAAAAAGAATGAAACCAGTGAATTGACATTGTGGAAACCAAGGACAAAAGATGAATATTTAAATCTTTTAATTGTTTACAGATATTTTGTGCATGTCACAGGCATTAATATAACTAAGTACCCTAAAGGCAAATTCAGTCTTATCTATATGTTAAGAAATTATAATTCCATTGTTCTCAAATTCATCTGATTGGCAATTGATATATAAATGTTCTAACCTGACAGAAATGGAAGGCGTTTGCCTTTCATCACATCTGGTATTGTTTGAATTCTTTACAAGAGAGTACCACTCCATTACTCATGCAATTCAATAAGCACTTTAAAAACCTTGAAAATTAGAATTGTTTAAAAATAACCAAAAATTTTCAAAAAAATTGGAAGGATATTGGTAATAGTCGTTTATAGCTATTACGTTTATAGGTGATGTGGGAGCTTTGCATTGTGGTTCAAAGCATAAGATGTAAATTATCAATAACTGACTAGTATTGTTTATATAGAAAAGAAAAATAACATGCTTGTGTCACAAAACTGGAAGTTTCTTGACAAGTATGTACTAACCTTAACCTTCTGTTTTGCTCCTATTTCTGTTTCTAAGTAGGTTCTCACATGTAATTTATATTTATCTAATTGGGCAGACATTCACTCCATCGATCAAACCTATATATTAACTCCTAACTTTCTGAATAATCTACCACGTAATTTTTCTTCTTCAAAAGTTCAATTCTAAGTTTTCTAATTATAAATCAGTAATTTTACTCTATTCACCCATTGTGGATATTAGGCCTTCTTATTCAAAGAAAATAGAAGCAGTCAGTAATAATTAAGAATAGGGGAAGAATTACAAAATGATTATCCTGAGCCACTCACGTTACCCAGGAGTCTAATATGGAGGTGGAGGGAGGCAGGAGTTAGGGACAAGGAAATGGGAAGTAATGGGAAGAAAGGATGTACAAACACTAGGGGAATAGAACATGTGGGGTGGAGGGGAGACAGAATTAACTGTATGAAATTGACATTTTCATAGGTCAAAACGTTTGAATACTGGTAATTTAATATGGTTAAACCAAATCATTGCCCCAACAATAACAATAATAATAATAATAGAAGGAATAAAGGAGTGAGAAGAAAATCATGATAAAAGTTTTTTTGAAGTCCTCATTCTCTCTGACCCCTGCTTCAGTGTGTTACAGAACTAAGGAGAGTCCTGCAGATATTTCATAAGAAACTCTGCTCTTCACATATCCAGTTAGCTGTCAGTATTTGAGGAGGAGGAAGAGGTATTTCATATATTTACCTTCAAGATGGGAGCCATAAAGACTGACAGACCAGTCAGAATAAACACAAGGGTTCCAGTGACTCTTTGTTCCCTGAAACCAAATCAAAAGATTACAAATCTACCTCTTATTTTCATAAACATGCTCTGTCTTTCCACCTTCAAAAAGACTATACATGGGTTGATTCTATGTCTGGCTAAAATAGCAAGGCATTGATATCATATGTAATTAATACCTCAAGGACAGCATATAAACTCAACATAACTATAAAATTCTCTTAATTGCACTATGTGATTTGAATTCATCAAGAGAAAAGTGATTCTGCTAAATTCTTTGCTCCTTTAGAATCAAGAAAAAAATCATTTGTTCTTTGTCCATCAATTCCTGGCTTTTTGGAAGCCCTTATTTTTTAAACAACTTGGACTCTTGTGTAATTACACCTTCTTTCACAGAAGAGATATTACATTGTCCCGCATTCTAATTAATAAATAGCTCAGAGAAATTTCATAAGTGCAATAAATCCCATCAGTCTAACTTCCAAATCTACAACAACAAAAAAGTACTTTTTAACAAATGTTTCCCATACCACTCCCCCTCCCCCATCCCCAGGAAAGAATCACCCACTGTTGTGGTGTGGGAAATGCAGGCTCTGCCATGTGAGCTAGTCACCCAAGCACTCAGGGGCGGGGCTTGCTGTAAAAAGTGCACAACGGCATATAAAAGACCTGTACTGTCCTTCGTGGCTACCCAAATGTAACAGCTACAGGTCAAAGTTTCTCAATGCTTATGAGGATAGAAAGTGAACTGGCAAATAAGAATTCTTTTCCCTCTATAGAATTTTAAAAATCATAAGCAGGCTCAAGAGTTTTAGGGGGTCTCATCAGAGCTGAAAGATTAAAGGGTTTGGCCTTTAGATATGATGTGATAGAATAAGTACCACAGCACCAAAAGGACCTGCATGTTGAAGAAAAGGACCTGTTTGCATTTTTACATTGTATCACTTAGACTTCATGAATCAAAGGAAATTTATTTATCATAAGAAGCGAACTCGTTTCACTTCTTACGGCGTCACTTCAAAAAATCATTGAAAACTCTCTGATGAAAAATGTAGTCCTTTCTAGAAAAGCAAGTGTAGGAATAAATTAACCATTAACATTCCTTTCTCCTCCCCCCATACCTGCCCCTTCCCTCATGATTGACAGGCGAATGGGTCCACAGTGCGTTTTGCAGAGCCATTTTCTTCTGACTCAACATACCTCACTCCAAGAAACTTTGGTTGCTCTCCAGGTGCAGACGTCTCTGTCTCCATCTTCAAACTGTCGATGTGAGCAATGGAGATGACAGTAGCAGCCACGTACCATGGAAGAGCCATGAAGGAGCACACCACCATAAGGATGGCCACCCAAAAGAGATCCAGGTGATATCCAGCTCCTTTCTGTAGAAAGAGGTAATAAACCCATGTGAAGAAAATATTCATATTGCTATCAAGTCGTATTTCCAGATAGGAATTAAGATTAGTAAAAGAAACTAACTCACTTTGCTTGATAAAACTAGCTACTAGAAGGTACGCTCCTTGAGTGAGAGCACTTTATTGTCCTCATATTATTTGTCCTGGCACTTAAACACAAAGTAGCCACATGACACCTCTTCTAGCTTGATTTGTTACATCTTATTTATTATTTGTGTATTGTTACTTATCCTCTCTGCATCCAATTTTCTAATCAGAACAATGGAGATATACATCTACCTTGAAGAATTACTGGAACCATTCAGTGAAATATCAGGCAAAGCATGTAGGAATTTAAATGGCAGTGGTTGTCACATAGTAGGAGCTCAATAAATGTGACAGTGGTATCGGCTGTTGTTAACGTAGGCATGAAAAGCATCCCAAAAGCAGGCACTGTGCTTTCTCTGCTTGCCTGTTTAGCAGTGTGCTGTTCACCCAGACAGCGTTCAGCGTATGCAGACTAAAGATCCCAAAGCAATCTCGAGAAGTTATGTTGGAGACCATTTCTTACCTTTTATAGTATACGAAAATAACTGTTTATAATCTATTGAACATTATCATTAAAGTAATTAATAGCCCCTTAATCAGAACAGGCTGATTTCAAACATTGCCTAATGGTCACAATAACATTTATTGACTGCGCGAGCAGACAATGTAACAAAAGGTCTGGCTCCTTTACTCACTAAATAAATATTGTTAAATGTGTCCACAGTGTTATTCTATGGTTATATTTCCCTGCTCTATTTGTGGAGAAATCAAATGCTTAATACCCCTATGGAGCCTGAGAAAACAGAGCAGTCCATTTTCACAGCATGGAAGCCGCTGCACCAAGAGCCAGAATATGACCAATCCGAGGGAACGGAGATGTTGGCTTTAAAAAATGAGAATGTGATTTTACACTAGGAACCAGTGACTGTTTTGGTTCAGATCCTGTTACACTTAGTCAGGACACTGTTCTCTTCTCCCTGAAATGCCAAGCTTTCACCCCTGGCGGACACACATGGGTCTAATCATGTTCTCAGAGAACTCATCACAGGCAAGGGGAGTTGACACAACAAAGAAAAGCACAAATTTACTTAGTCCAAGTTCAACTGAGAATGAAAATCTCCTTGAAAAAGGAAGTTAATATATATTCATAAAGCCAGCTCATTTCGGCGAAAGTGGTGTGAAAGCATAATGGTTTAAACTGGGAGTGGAGGAAGGCCAGGGAAAGGCGGGCAAAGGTGGGGAGAGCTAGAGGCTCTCATTGAATAGTGACTAATGAGAGAACTATCATGCTCGATCTGGGGGCTCAGTCTTTCACCCTTTCAACAAGTACCGATTGAAAATTTATTTATAGGCCTAGTTCTAGGTATTGATGGCATACCTGAGATTAAAACAAAGATTCCTGCACTCATGGAGTTCCCATGCTACTAAGGGAGACAGCAATAAACAACATAAAGTCAACTACACAGTATATTAAAGAGTAGTAAGCACTAAGGGCAACGGTAAGAACTTGGGCTCATACACCGAGTACAATGGGAAGCCACTGAAGGGTTTTAAATGGAGGGGTGACATGGTTGAATTATGTTCTAAGCACTGACTTCTGTGTTAAGAACAGACTGAAGAGGGTCAAGGACAGTGGGACCAGGAAGACCTCCTCTCTTACAAGCTCCACGTAAGAGCTTGTGATGGTTAGAATGAGAGTGGTAGCAATGGAGATGGCAAGGAGTGGCTGGATTCCGGTTATACCTCAAGGTAGAGCTCACAGAATTGGCTCGCTCCTGCCTGTGCATGTGCCGTATGACCTTACTATATGCCACTCATGATCTAGCCTCTGTTCACATCTGTGACCTCAACTTCCGCCTGCCCTCTGCCTGGATCATACACCATGATTATTTTCTACCACATGCAATTCCTTGACAATGTCTTACTCATTAGTGCCTTTGTCTCTTTGCCTCTCCAGCACCCCCTACCGGGAACAACCTCTATTCTGCCTTCTTCTTCCATTGGCTCTGTCTAACTCATCCTTAAAACTTAAAATCAGCCTTCACCTTTTCTGTAATTTTTCCTGCCTTAGCCAGGTGAGCCAGGTGAGATAGGTGAGCGCAGTCAGGTTAGGTCGCCTCTCTTACGCTTTCCTCTACCGTAGCACTCATCGTGCTCATTTAAAGTCGTATGTGTGTTTATCTGTGTTTGACATTAGACTATAAGTAACAGTAGGACTGCAACTGTATGCGGAATACCTTAGTGAGTGCGTGATATATAGTCAATTCTCAATTAATCTTTACTAAAAAATGAATGACAAATAGCATGTATACATTCTCAATGGCAACTATAATTAATTAATTTATTTATTAGCCATATAAAAAGAAAATTAAAACTTTATTTGTTAATTGGTAGAAATGTGAGTCATTTGAGGGAGGGGAAGCAAATGAACAACCGCTGGGAATATCACATAGTTTTAAGCCCTATTAAGACTAAATCACTCAAGACTATATTAGAGGTACCCACATAGTTACTAATAGGCAGGAACCGCAAATCTTGTCTCCAATAAAACTGTAAACCTAAGGATGCGCACACTGGCCAGATCAATGGGTCAAAAGAATAACTACTGCAGAAAAATTCATGCAGGTCACCCTGAGCTATCTTGATGCTTTCTTAAACTCTATCAACAAAGAAAAGTTCGAGTTAAATGTCCTGCAGACTAGCAAAAAGGGGTCACATAATACAAAAGAGGTTTTTAGAAAGTAAAATACAAAGATAACTGCAAAAGCACCAGAATAAATAAAAGCTCTGGGACAATAAAATGAATAGATATATAATTACTCTGTGTCTATTGACATCATTCCCTTCAAAAAGTCTTCCTGTCCCTCGACAACATTAAGGCCATAACTTAGAACAACTTTTATCTTCAACATCTAACATGAATGTTCCATACATAGCAAGGACTCAGTAAATGCTTGAAAGGTTAAGTATGACCTTTAAAGTTTAAAAAAGTCCTTGTCTTCATGAATATAAATCCAAAGGATGTTCTACTTTCTGAAATTGGAGATTATTTTAAGTAAAAGGACAGAAAGTGAAACTTCACTTCCTTTTGATATTGCACATGCTTTGCTAACAAAAAACAAAAGTCATTTAGGAATACATCCACAGAAATAAAAAAAAAATCTATGAGAGAAAAAGACTGGCCTAACAATCTACAGCCTACGTCTGGTGATAGAGGATTATTACAAAGACGCCAGAAGCAGTGTACACACGTGCACGGACACAGAACCAACATTCATGCTGAGAGCAACCCCCTTCATGATCCAGACAATAAGGGTTTACTGGGACCCTGAGAACCATAACACAGTTCTTCCCACCAAAGGGCTCACAACAGAATGAGGGGACTCAAATTTGTCTACAAGTTACAATGCAATCCCAATACGCTTTCAAAGAAGTTGGAAAAGGACACCCAAAAGTACAAAAGATAAAGTGCTGTAACTATGTCCAGAAAGAACCCACCTAACACTTCCTGCAGTGATGACACCTAAGCTGAGATTTCAATAATATAAGCACTCACTGTGAGAACTGGAGATGGGCTGGCATGTTTTTCACTTATCACCCATCTCAAACAGTGCAATGACTCTGAGAACTATGTGGCACAAGTTAACAAAATTCTTTGATGTGTATTTACTGAGTCTGCCCTACAGAAATCACTGTGATGGGCCACATGAGAGTTGAAAACAGGACTAAAATATGATCCTTATCTTAAAAACATTTAGCCCAGAAAAACAGATAAGGTAATTACAGAAAATATATACCTTTGTGAAACATCATGTGACCAGTGCCAGAGAATAATACAAACTTACTACGAGCAAAAACACAGACAATAGAAATTACATTAGGAGTGAAATCTACATGGACAGATTTTTTAATTTGGAGGATCTTAACGAACGGTGAAGATTCTGATAACTGATAATCATCAAAGAGTGGAGAGTAGAGTAACAAGCAGAAGAAACTGCCAGACTTGAAGAAAAACCAACAATTCATTTGGCCACAGCATTCTAATAGTAAGTATGTGAAGAGAATCATTTCATATTTAGGTTGAGATCATATCCCAAGGAGGCTTAGATCTCAGGCTAAGGCAAACTGATATTCTTTAAAGGGCAAAGATTTAGAGGCAGAGGTGTAAAGGTTTAAAAATAGAGACTGACATATAAGAACAACATTTTTTTAAAAAATCACTGTTTTTGGAATAAAGCACGAGAGACTGGTCATTAACTCATGGCTAAACAATCAGAATAGTCTAGACATGAAATAAAAGTATCTAAGGCTAAGGTTTGATAGCAGAAATTTAAAAACATGAAAGGAGGACAAATTTTGGATTCATCCAAGAAAACACACTCAAATTAGGGTTTTATCATAGAGGATATCAGAAAAAATGTATTGCTACAACCCCCTAATATCTATTTCTATATACCTATCCTAAATTATTTCTCCCTCCCACATCCTATCTATAACACTTAAAATCACATTCCTTGTGAGATGTATCCCTTGCTTCGCAGCCTGACGATCAGAACTCTTTCTTCTGTCTCTGCAGTGACTCAGGGAATGACCTCAGAGAAGTCATGACCCTGCCGAACCCGGTTTGCTTCTGAGTGCTCTGCAGGGATAATGTGGGGAAACACTAACAGGCAAGACGGCCCAAAAAAAAAAAGCCAAGCGCCTTGGCGCTCCCACAGCAATGCAGAGCTGTGTGGCAGAGTGGAAAGGTGGAACCCATCCCAAACAGAGCAGTCAGCCAGCCAGCGCCACCTGACACAGAGCCAAAGCAAATGCCACCCAAAAACATGCTGCTTTTAATATCACAATGCTTCCATCTCTCTCACTGTTTCAGGTTTTCTCTCTGGACTCAGCTGCATAGCAGTCAGGGTCCTTTATAATTTTAGACAAAATTTCTAATT